AAGCAATATACACCAGGGTGTTACTTATTTGCATAATTTTTGGCCTCTATGTATGTTTATGTTGTCTTTGTGCACATATGAACTCACATGTACACGTTCGATTACTTACTTAGGTCAAGGCGGCCCACGCCAAAACATATCGATCTCAACTTGATAGGTGAAGGAGCTAGCTGTCACACTTAACCTTTAAGCGTTAAACGTAGCTCAAGCCTAATTTTTGTAATTATAAAATAAGTAACTGATAATATCTGGTGATGACGTAGATATACAGGTGTTAGTTGTTTGTTGGCTCTACCATCCAGCATCACAAGTGTTGGTGTGTTCTGTCTTGGCTCTTTAATTTCCTCAGTTCCCCTAATGTGTGTCACAATCCTGGCCAAGTGTAACCCCTCTCCCCAGATAAATGTCACACTCGCTAAATTTCACACGCTCCTCATTTGCATATTATTGTTTCAAGCTGAGAAGCCTAACTCGAAACTATTTACCGTAGCTGCCCGAGGAAGAAGAGGTCGCTGGGCGTCTTAAAACCCACTTTTGATGACTTCGGTTCTTTTATCTTCTGCTTCAACACTGGAGAACGTTTGCATATACTCTCGATACCGTGTTGGCATGCATAATGAAGTTGGACTTAGCTGCAGGTGTTAAATACTGATGATCTCCAGAGCGAGGCGAATGGTGGCGCCTAAGGCAAATCCTTCCCGATATGGCATGTGTGAACAGTATCGGGTCGCATATTACGTTGAGGATCCGAGTTGAAGCATTCGTGCAGCGCCTCATTCTCGGAAACCCAACCCCCTCAGGTCCGTAGGAGGGGAGGGTCTGTGCAGCACAATCTGGTTTTGGTCAGAATTTGTGTATGATACATTTAATAAATAACTACAGTGTCATGGTTTGATAGGGTGGTTCGGTGGTAAGTATGAATAGGAGTATATTATATAAAGATAATAATATGTCGTATTTCTTATTTCTTACCGTAGAGTCCGATACCTTCACACTGATTACTTACAGGAGATTATGGCGTATCTACGTAGAAGTTTACTCCACCACTCGACATTCCATGATTTATACTTGATAAATGATGATTTAATGAATTCATTTAATTTTCAACATCCATCTAAGTTATTGGTTATACTATGTCATAACCAATCAGTTATTACCTTTAGTAATAATAAGATAGGATCACAGATACGGGCAGATAATTGCACTTACATTTATTTGTCAAGCTTCCATACAATGATTTACAATTTGCATGGATATATGATTCACTCACGTTCACGCTGTAATAAAATTAATCTTCTAAAAGAGAATTTTAACTTGGGGACACATGTGATTACTCTACTATGGGTATAACTTAACAGAGCCTTAATTCTTCAAGTGATACATTTACTGCCAGCCTGGATTGCTTTTGTTGCAACCAGGCTTCATCACAAGAACTTTTTCCCACGGCCATAACAACAAGAAGGTACTCTTGGGTTACCACACATAGTCTCGCGTCACTGACAGTCACTGTGGACGGTTGTCGCGGCAAGTAGAACTGGTAAGCGTGACTTGAATTAACCATTAGGTGCAATAGACCAGCCTGGATTGCTTTTGTCGCAACCAGGCTTCCACACGTGATATTTCCACGGGGATAACAAACCTAGGTTAACACACTTAGTCTCGTGTCGATCACGGTCACGGTAGACGGGTGTCGTGCAGGAGAACTCTGTAAGCGTGAATTAATTAACCATTTACTGTAGGTTTGATAGGCCAGCCTGGATTGCTCTTGTCGCAACCAGGCATCCACACGTGATATTTCCACGGGGATAACAAACCTAGGTTAACACGCTTAGTCTCGTGTCGACGACGGTTCACAGGACGGAGTGCGGTGGAGGACTCTGTGTGGTGTGGTGTCCCGCCCCCCCCCTTCAGGAGGGAGAGGCTGGAGGCGACGTCTTAACTAACCCATGGCTCAGGGGATACTACTCAAAATGAGGTTTTTGGGTGTGAAGCGATGAACAGTACAACACTGTTTCACTGCCCACCCCCCTAAAGGCTGGCTAACATACACTTATGGAAAAATACATGTCCCAGTTATGCCTCGCCGGGCGTCTTATCTCTGGTAAAACAAACTTTGGAGTTGGTTGCGTGGGTAAGCCTAACGCAACCCATGACAATCGCCCCTACTAAGAAAAATTTTTCTTCGGAGAATAAAATTTCAGCACCTGTATACAATCAAGAGAATGCCTAGCCCAGACACACAATTCAACATTCACACTGTGGTGTGTGTAACACTAACACTGCAACGGGATGTAGTCGCCAATCGCCACTGAGGGAAAACCTCAACATTTACTTTAGATTTTCAGGCTGGAGGAAAACTCCGAGGCGAGTGTGACAATTCCCGAGCAATGGTGTCCCGCCCCCTTTCAGGAGGGAGAGGATGGAGACGACGTCTTCTAACCCATGGCTCAGGGGATACTACTCAAAATGAGGTTTTTGGGTGTGAAGCGATGAACAGTACAACACTGTTTCACTGCCCACCCCCCTAAAGGCTGGCTAACATACACTAATGGAAAAATACATGTCCCAGTTATGCCTCGCCGGGCGTCTTATCTCTGGTAAAACAAACTTTGGAGTTGGTTGCGTGGGTAAGCCTAACGCAACCCATGACATACAGCCTTTTACTCTTAAGACACTGTCACCATGGTTACCTCACTACCTCATCCCAGTACACCACCTGGCCGAGTTGCTGAACATAGCCTAGGTTTCTACTCTTTTTACCGTATTCTTTAATATGTAGTTTATTTTCCCCCTCTTCTGGCTGCATGTTTGTTGATCGAGAATGTGAGAGGAAAACATATTGCACCAACCAGTTCTTAACTCAGGTTGGCTTGCAAGGTAGCACTATGCTGAGGGAGGGGGAAATAGTGACTCTTGTTAATATACATTTTTTTAACAAGGTATTAAACAACCCTTGGTCCCATACTCTCAAGTGATGGAATAAAAAGCCGATGTGGCACTTTGGTTCCAGCTATTATACTGTACAGTATTAATTGATTCTTTGACAGCCATTTTGCTGAAGATTTGTTCCTGTATGACCATCAAATATTGAGTGCCTCGGCCCCGTGTACCTCGAATATTGACTGCCCCGGCCCTGTGTGACCTCGAATATTGAGTGCCTCGGCCCTGTGTGACCTCGAATATTGAGTGCCTCGGCCCTGTGTGACCTCGAATATTGAGTGCCTCGGCCCTGTGTGACCTCGAATATTGAGTGCCTCGGCCCTGTGTGACCTCGAATATTGAGTGCCTCGGCCCTGTGTGACCTCGAATATTGAGTGCCTCGGCCCTGTGTGACCTCGAATATTGAGTGCCTCGGCCCTGTGTGACCTCGAATATCGAGTGCCTCGGCCCTGTGTGACCTCGAATATTGAGTGCCTCGGCCCTGTGTGACCTCGAATATCGAGTGCTTCGGCCCTGTGTGACCTCGAATATTGAGTGCCTCGGCCTGTGTGACCTCGAATATTGAGACCTCGGTTCTGTGTGACCTCAAATATTGTCTCAACCCTGTGTGACCTTAAATATTGAGTGCCTCGCCCTGTGTGACCTCGAATATTAGTGCCTCGGCCTGTGTGACCTCGAATATTGGAGTGCCTCGGCCCTGTGTGACCTCAAATATTGTCTCAACCCCTGTGACCTTAAATATTGAGTGCCTCAGCCCGTGACCTTAAATATTGAGTGCCTCGGCCCTGTGTGACCTCGAATATTGAGTGCCTCAGCCCTGCGTGACCTAAAATATTGAGTGCCTCGGCCATGTGTGACCTCGAATATTGAGTGCCTCGGCCTGTGTGACCTTAAATATTGAGTGCCTCAGCTCTGTGTGACCTCAATATTGAGTGTCTCATCCTGTGTGACATTAAATATTGAGTGCCTCAGCTGTGACCTCAAATATTGAGTGCCTCAGCCCTGTGACCTCGAATATGAGTGCCTCAACCCTGAGTGACCTCGAATATTGAGTGCCTCCCCCCTGTGTGACCTCGATATTGAGTGTCTCGAGACTCTCGAATAGTTAGTACCTCGACCCTGTGTGACCTCGAATAGTAAGTGACCTCGACCCTGTGTGACCTCGAATATTGAGTGCCTCGACCCTGTGTGACCTCGAATATTGAGTGCCTCGACCTGTGTGACCTCAGTGCCTCTGTGACCTCGAATATTGAGTGCCTCGACCCTGTGTGACCTCGAATAGTAAGTGCCTCGACCCTGTGTGACCTCGAATATTGAGTGCCTCGACCCTGTGTGACCTCCAATAGTAAGTGCCTCGATTCTGCGCATAAGCCTGTAGGAGTGTATAAAAGCCAACGCTGAAATTCATTCAGTGATCTATTGGTCAGCCCAGGAAGGAAAACACCTGAGTCAGAAGGGTGACCGGGGGACTCCCTTACTCTGAGACTGGATTTGGTAAACACTACAGAGGTGTGGTGGGGGGGGGGGGACTACCGCTTCTCTGCCACTACCTAGACACAGCCTCACACATTCTCAGTGAAGATATAAATGGGTGACAAAACTGTTAAATGGTCTGGGTCGTAATGTAAAGTTTAAGTATAAAGGGAAAACTTAATGGTTTGGATGATAAAGTTGACTTAAGAACACTAGTAAATGTGTTCAGTGTTCTGGGTCGCAGTAAATCTTGATATTTTTAGTTCACTTGGGTGAGCTATTCTGGCAGGTTGTTCATCGTGTGTCGGATCATCTTGGAGCCTAGGGTGAGTTTACCTTGAGGTATTTTTTTAAAGAATCCAGTCGTAAGTAAACACCCTTTGGTTCCCTGCAGATCGTGGTGACTAGTTATTTTTACAGAAAATAGAATGAAAACGAATTAAGCACGGAAGAAACACACATGTGGCGAGTTATCAGAATGTTTGTTGTGTGGGTTGCATGTGTTAGTGTGTGCGTGTGAACGTAAGGAATGATGGCGTGGCACTGGCAGCGTGTGTTGTGTTGTGAGCGAGCGTGGCCGAGCGAGCGACTCTGTGGGCCAGTGCTGGGCCGGCGTGTGTACGGTGCGGGTGTAGGCTGCGTGTTCTCATCTCCCCACATATTGTCAATGGCGGGAGAAACACATCCCCGCCTTCCGTTGTGCTTCTAATTTGTGATCTGAAGGTGAAATTATAGTGTCTTAAATGCAATGTTACAACCCGATGCATGAGAAAATTATATACTGCGGGCAGCATAAAGTGCGTGCTGGAGACGTGATGCAGAAGACGTACGAGCAGTGAACCGACCGGTCGGTGGGGCAGCTCTTGTAGTGACTTTATGTCAAGTGGTGACTCCTAGATTATTGTGGCATTTTGTAGACTGTGCAAAATTTTTTGGAACATATTGAAAGAAAGACCAGGAAAAATTAGTGCCGAAATGATTCAGTATTTGAATCACTTGTGTGTTGCTTTCGTGCTTGTATGTTGGGTTGTTGTGTGTTGTATGTTGGGAGTGGTGCAAGGCAGCTGCTACAACACTTATCCCAGAGGTCATGTTGGTGGTGAGGACAGGCGAGAGTGCTGCTGTGGCAAGCTCAGTCTGACAGTCCACTTGCATCAGCATCTTGATAGTCATGCCTGTGCATTTGAGTGTAACTAACCCCTAATCATCCTTACGTGCCATCGCATGTACCCTCACCACAGTCTCTTAGACATCAACACCCCTCTCCAGCTATCTACACTCCTGCTTCCCGGTACCCTCCCCATATTAGCTGTCAGTCACTCTCACCTTCATATCTAAGCACACTACCTTCGTCTGTACTCATTATCTCTTAAGATGATTAATGAAAAGAATAATGAAGTCCTTGTGAGCCGTTAGGAGGATAGTGTTGGAGGGAGCTATTGACTAATGAATCAAGTATAAATCCCTGCTCTAGAAACATGATTATGTAGCTGTAGACTCGGATTAATCCTTGATATTTTCTCCGTGTCAACCTGCCTGATGACCTTCCAATAACTGTGCAAGTGACTTATTGATTTTCTCGCCTTGGCAAATTTCTTGATAGTGAAATCAACAAAAAAAGACGTGGAGCGTGTATGTTACACAAGCCGGTGGTGGTGCAAGTGATAGTCGTGCTGGTGAAGTGTCAGGAATACTGCTTTATTCGATTGGTGGAGGTTGAAGGTGTGAGGGAGTGTTGGTGGGCCAGGAGTGTGGTGGGAGGAAATAGTTTGTTATGGTTGTGAGGGGTGAGCCTCAGTGTGGCTCTCTCGAGGGTTCATGCTGGCTGCTCCACTGGCCCTCTTATCTGGGCTCACGTCACTACATCCTCTTGTCCAAAATTCATTATTATCCTTGTTTGATCTTTGACTTCAAGACTAAAAAACAAAGACAAATATGGAGGGAAGTTTGAAGGAACATCTTACAACTTTAGAAGTCGATCACAACAACACTTGGACGAGTACATATTTCTGAATGAAATATATGTCATCTGTCAGTTATCATACACAATCAATTGATAGTCATCACCTTATCAATATATGTGGTTCGTTTTTTCTTCGTGGGTTTAGCTGGCAAGGTAGCGTGTGTGAAGGTAGGTAGGGAGTGACATATTACTACGTCAATCACAGTTTGGAACTTTGCCGACTTATGTGGGGGAATGTCACGTACTGTGGCTGTTTTTACCCCCCATCTCTGCAACACTCGTGCCAAGTAGTGAATTATTGTCACGCTGGTATGGTACTGTACCTGTGTGTTTCATTATGTGATGGAAAATAGTATCAGTGCTTTAAACAATATAAATATTGTTTGTGGAACTTATGGAATTAAAGAGTAGTACTTGTATGGTTAATAAGTAATACTTGTGTTTGTTTCACCTGTATGATCGAGATATTAAAACTGTTTGTTTCACTTGTCTCGTCGTAAGAGTACAGAATCATACAGTAGTTTTTACCATTGCTAAAGGTTAGTGACACTCATTACGCCTTTATGCGTTGTGTTTTAACGTTCGTGCGTGCCTCCTGGTTCTCGTGGAATCTTGAAACTAACTCCACTTGACCAGTGATGGCCATCTGCGATATTTGAATCATGTAAATCAGGAGGTTTCAGTTTACTAATGTCCGCATAGGGTTGTGGTACACTACCGATGTCCTTCATAACACAGAGTTGTAACACATTATACTGATGTCTCCATGATCTTGGTTTTTTAGTACAACTTACTTGATGTCCCATATAACAATTACCAATTCACAATGACTGGTACCATCTAGGCGGTCAGGTTAGCGGGCTTTCCCTTAGTATCAATCGTACAGTATCCATTCTGTGTTTGTCAGTTTTATTGAAGGTTTTGAAGAAATCATTCTGCTCCTGAGATAACACTTGTACACCTTGCTTTTGGTGGGAGCTGTTTTTCTATGATATACCAAGATGTTGGACTTTGCAGTAATTATAGTGGACGCTCAGAATGTGACCAGCATTTCAGTGTCATATGTATGATTTAAATTACATATTTTATAAGCAGTCTGCCTTGTTCTATATTATACTGTACATCACGTAATCAATGCATTGACTAACGTTGAGTCATAACCCAGCCATGGTCAGTCGGCGTTAACCTTCTCAGAGCTGGGGCGTGTCAGTCTTTATGTGCCAGAACACTGTGGCCGAGAGGTAGGGTAGGCGATAATGCTTGAGAACAACGAATACTGAAGGATTTTGAATTGATTCTCTAGAGGAAAGAAATCTATCACACTTACCAGGATAAATATTTTTTTTTTTTAGTTTTCAATATTCTACCATATTTGAATACGCCTCTCTTATTGCCAACACTATTTCCACCGAGTGACAACACTGAGATGGCCAACCTTTCATCATACTCGTGATTCATTTGGCCCACTGAGCGCCTTCAAAACAATAGCCTATGTGTGTGTGTGTGTGTGGGGGGGGGGTGTATCTGCCATTGCTTATAACATTCTTGAGACCCTAACAGGTGCCCAGTTGTCCGTGCACGGTTCATCTGCTTGATGGTGATGTTTGTGTACCTGTAGGTGTGTGTGTTATAGGTTTCGTGTACCTGTGGGTGTGTGTGTGTGTGTTATAGGTTTCGTGTACCTGTGGGTGCGTGGGTGTGTGTTATAGGTTTCGTGTACCTGTGGGTGTGTGTGTGTGTTATAGGTTTCGTGTACCTGTGGGTGTGTGTGTGTTATAGGTTTCGTGTACCTGTGGGTGTGGGCGTGTTCCACTATAGGCTAATCAATATTACCCCTTATTACGCTTAAGTAACTATCTACTGCTCACGCCTCCATACCCACTTACACGTACCAAATACTTGCTTTGAGAGATAAGTGGTTCATCTTGTGATTGAGGCCGCTGGCTGACCTCAATAAGTGTTAATGAACATCACGATTGTCACATTTACTGGCCACCCAACCACACACACACACCGTTACCATCCGTCATGTCCGTCACATTTAAAACAATGGTCAATAAAGTTCACATTGTGTTACACGTCTGGCATTGGGAGACGAACGCTGTGAACCCCAACCACTACCGCTCACGGCTACAGGGGAGAGCTCTTACTCCACAGAGGATACGAAGGATATACAAATTTTAATCGCACATATCTTAATTCCTGGTTGGTTAATAAAGTACAGTATGTAATTGTTGATTTAATGGTAAAGTGTTGTTTTTGTGGTTTTAAAGCTTCATTCAGAAGTAAGTGGAATGTACAAGGATGTAGGTGGAGTTGGAAGTAAAGGAGGTGGTGGTGGTAGCTATCTGAACTTGCATAATGAATGGTGAATTGTCAGTCATCCAAGAGTATTTTCCACGGACTGGTTGAGGCTGACACAATGTGAGGTAGACTGTAACACGTCAGACAAAGAATACAAAGTGTGTATAATGTAGCATTATTCTCCTAATGTGTGTCAGTGCGGGTAAGGCAGCCTCCACGTCATTACTTCTGCCCGTTCGTATAAGTTGTTCTGAGAAACGGTATCTTGAGAGTAAATCTACCTGTAGTGTTTGGTCTGTTTCTGCGTTCTTTATTTGCGTCAGTATTAATTAGGAAGAGAAACACAACATAAACAGTATTCATGTCCGCATCTTTATGGGTTTTGGGGTTTAAAAATGGATGACACTGCAGGCATTTAATTTCCACGCAGATCCTAATAAGGCCGTGTCGCGTCGTCTGTGTGGGCTCTTCGGTATGCCTGTGGAAATCTCAATATGAAGTTGAACCGATGACTAATAAGGAGCTCTAGTAAACATGGTGTGTGGCTGCTACTGGTAAGAATGATGAAGCTGGGCGTAATTGATTGTTATAGCGTGACTGTGTAAATCTTAAGGTGATGGACACCACCAGGTCGCCTGGCGCCGGACTGACCAGGCATGACTCCAGCTGACTTCATGTGTTCCAGGGAAGAAGTCATTAGATCAGATTTTGGTTTAGTGTTTATACGTTCCACCAGGTGTTATGTCGTGGAGGAAAAGGAAAATTATGTTTCGGATGACGTCAATATCTAAGGGAGTGAAGCGGTGGTTCTCTGAAGTGGAGGTTTCCCAGAAGCTGAGGTTATCGGTGACACAATGCAGTGAGTCACCTGGTATCAAGAAACATAAGTATGGATGACATTGTCTGTGGGTATGTGAGACAGGGACTGATAGATTTTTACTCTTGAGTGATGGTGACGGTAGAGGTGTGTGTGATAATGGAATGTTTACTATATAAGACGAGGATAGTTGTTTGTATGGTACTCTGATTGCCAGGCTTTATAGTATATGTTTTATCTTGTTTCTCTGTCAAGTAAAGTAATATGAAGACATAAACGTGGTCATGGCGTAAAGACAAGCTGGATGAGGAGAGACAAACTGCACTTAAGTTACCATGAGTCACTCCTTAACGTAACAAGGCTGTGAGCCAAGGCTCTTGTGCTCTCTCAGGAGGCTCCATCGCCTCCTTGGTGTGTGTTTGTGTCAAACTTGGTTGACCCACCCAATTGTTAACTAAATTAAATTTTGATTAATAATTTCCAAATAATTTTCGTCTGAATATTCTTAACAATATTGTACGGTATATATCTTAATATTGCTAAGCATTAAGAACCGTACTTAGATTTGTTTATTTGACGGTGAGTTTATTGGATATTCTATTATGATTACCATTAAATCAGTGTTTTCGACAATTCATATTGTTACTTGAGACCTCTAGTAATGTGTTCATACTGTATCAGTAAATATGATGTGTATAATATTTGTATAAAAACTTGAAGGTCTAGACTGTGGCTGTTACGTTATTGTTCAGACAAAATTTCTCCTGGTGGAGCGGAAGAGTGTGTGCGTGACATTGTGTAGTCGCGTAATAAATACAGCCCCCCCCCCTTCTCCCGCACCCGCTGATGGAGACTGTACTCTACCTGTTTGTAGATGCCATAGAAGAAATATTATGGGGAGCTCAAATTAATATTAGCATAGAGATCAGAATAAGAGGAAATATTAAATGGGAAGAGGAGGGTAGATGGGCGGCGTGTAGCCGAGTGTAGGTGTGGTGTCGAGCCCTTGTAATGGTGATGACGACTGGAGGCTCTGGGTGAGAGTGTTGATGCTGCCTCGCTCACCTTTTGTCCTGTTATAATGAACCTTTACACGGCCTTCACTAGGTACATTGCCGACCTTTATGACTCACTGGCACGGTGGTGTTCATGCTGCTTCTGTGTGTGGTGCCGAGAGCAGAATACCTCGATACTATTCTCTGTAATATTTGCTCAAAGAATTAGTGTGTGGCATCCGTGGTGACATGTAATTTTAATTTCTCATTAGCTTTGTTATGTAGCTGCGATGATCATGGGGGGTGTAGTAAACATAGTTCACATCACGTGCTGAAACTTACTATACGGTAGGAATATAGAAACTTAATCCAGGACTCCACGTATAGTTTGATTATGTCGAAATCATTGGAAATCGTGACTTTCTTGCTGCTTCAGTGTTTCACCTTCCTTACCACAACAGTGAGGAACTTTCTCTTTTTCTCCCGACGGCAGTGTTGTCCGTGTACAGGCGAGATCATATTTGACACAGATTATCACACTCAGTCACATCCACGTAATGCTTCTGCTCGATGGGCTTAGCTTAAGTACTTCGGCCTATACCTTTCCTCTATGTATTTGGGTGTGTGTGTGTGTGATTTTTTTTGTATGTAGGTTAAGGGTGATACAGGTGCGTCATAAGTGAGTATACTACCCCCATGAACACCATAGATCACCGTGGCCAGGTGAGGGGGAAGCTCGTAGCCTGGTGTAAGCTGTGTCACTATCTTGATCACCTCACTTCTCCTTATCGCTCCTCCACGACCCTGCCGATCATTACAGCCTTTCTTTGTCAACTAATACCTTTTTACATATTTTTCCTCACGCTACCTTACCACCTGTAGACACCTTCCCTGGACACCCTTCGAAACCTGCTCGGGTACAGTCCACCACAGATAGGGAGACTTCTCTAACACATTCACACCTGTAGCATATATGGACACCTTGTGAATTGTGTGTTATTTCGAGTAAAAGTCTCCTTTTGTTGTTGAATAGATTTTCATGGTAAATTTTACGTGAGGCTTTACTGTTTATATATATATATATATATATATATATATATATATATATATATATATATATATATATATATATATATATATATATATATATATATATATATATATATATATATGTGTGTGTGTGTGTGTGTGTCATTTAGTCTTAGCCTTTCAAGCAGTGGTCCCCAACCTTTTGTAGGCTCTTGGCCATATTAGTCATTGCAAATACAGTGGAGGGCGCCAAAAATTGGATCTACAATAAATTAAGAAAGAAAGATCTCATACAGTACAGTTATTTGCAGTTTTACACGTCGTGAGTTCTAACTATAAAGTCGTATCAAGTTATTGCATATTTTCATTAAATTCACAATGACTAAGAATTCCTAATATTTCAAATTTTTCTAATAAACCTTTGCGGACTCCACAATATGGATGGTGCCCTTTAAACTACAGGTTGGGGAACTGCATTAAAGTTTGAATTTTGTAAAGATTTCTTGAGCCAGTTTAAGAAACCTAGATATATGGTCGTGATGATGTGATAAATACGGTTACTAGACAACACCGAAGGTTCCCATGGAACAGGGTGACGTAATTTTGAGGGTCACACTGTTTTCATCACCTGACCTTCGGCGGGCTACAAGTAGCTCGTCACAACCACATCTTGTATGTCACTACACACACCGACGTTTTCCATCATATTTTGATGCCAGCATTAATAAGGAATTGTAGGTCAGGGAAAAAAAAAAAAAAAAAAAAAAAAAAAATATATATATATATATATATATATATATATATATATATATATATATATATATATATATATATATATATATATATATATATATATATATATATATATATATACTAGTTAATGTGGTACAGGAACACGGTACGGTACACGTGCACACTACAGTAACCTGCCTCATGTCTTTAACTTCACTCACGTGACATGTTTGATTGTTTCGTTTTGTTAATTTAATTTCATAAGATTTTTTTTTATTGTTTTTTTCGGCGTGGAATGGATGGTGTTTTGCTTTGCATTGTATTTTTATAAAGAAACGCATTTAGTTTTACTTTATAATACACATTATCATCCCTGTGGTGATAATACTGTACTAGAGATACATTATTTTTTAGAAGCCAGATGGCAAGGTTTAAGAGTAGTTGTAGTGTGAGTGTAGTATTAACATGAGGGTGTTGTGTGAGACATGACTACTAGTGTGTCCGCTCCCCAGTTGATGAGTACAGACAGGGCGTACTGCATCACCCTCACGGTGTTGACTGATAGTACAGTACAGCAGCTGTCTTGTCTGTCTCTACTTTCGCATCTTGTGACTCACTCTCACTGCACAGTCTACTGATTGTCATGAAACTTTAGAAAAAGAAACTTATGATTTTTTTTTATTAATGACCCTCAATGTGTGACTTGACTTTATCACTAGTTGACTGAATTTTCATATACAACACTTGGCTTTACTGAACGGTCATTTTATATAATATATATGTTTTTGTATATATTATACGTACAGTACATGTGTATTCCACATAATATTGACTTTTCTTAAGGGAAAAGACTAGGTACGAAATGCAGAGTGAAAGATTTATAGAATATTTGAATAAAATAATTTTGTTTCGGAAATGTACTGTGAAAACTGTGAGTTGTGTGATAATGAGGCAGTGAACTTTGTTTACGACTGTGTAAACTGTGGTGTGTGTAGGGCGATGGAGAAATCTCGCTTGGTGAGATTAGAGCGCCCTTATCTAACGATAAACTGTTACCTGCCACATAACCTGAGGTGGACGCCCATGTGCCAGATATATGATACAAGTGTGAGCTATGGTGAGAGTTCTCGCCGCCACTGCCACCAGTATATATGACCATTTCTGTTTCACATTGGACACTTACATATGATTTTTTCTTTTTTTTTTTTACATTGTATTTATTTTGTTTTCTTTTTTAGGGACATGAGTTAAGATTTTAAAACTTGCCGAAAATTTATGACTGAAGTGTAAAAGAAGTGAAGCTTTTAAGTGTATGTGTAAGATGAAGTGAGTGAGGGAGTGTGGCGGCGGTGGCTGTCTGGCAGGAAGGTTGAGGACAGGTGAGGGGGACGCGGCACATTGCCCCGCCCCCCCTACTGCCAGGTCACAGTGTCACTCAGTGAGTCATTGAGAGGTAAAATGCCGTCAGTGACTCCCAATGAGCCAGGACTACTGGAGGGGTCACCTCCCCCACCCGTAAGTCCCGCCCCCTCCATGGAGCTGGGCGGGTCTCTCGGGGACATGACCTTCACCTCACAGTGCTCTGTAGAGTCTCTGGGCTCTCTTGATAGTGGTCATAGCTCAGCAGACAATGGTACCACAGACAGTCCCTCCCCCGGTGCTAACAGTCCCACGCCCATTATCAACACGCCGCCCGCCATTAACACTAGCTCCACGCCCGCAAGCCCTCGGGTCCATGGTGGGGAGTGTACCTACAGTCCCAGGATCAGTGTGTCATCCATGGGCTGCCAGGACCGTCCAGCATCCAGGATCGACAGATCCCTGTCCAACACATCCACAACTTCCATCAATTCCGATTTTTCATTAAATTCCAATGAAACTATGAGCTCCAGTACGACACTCAACTCGAGTGCCACCCTCGCCTCCGACCACACCAACACCACGTCCACCTCCACCTCCTCCACCACCATAGTGACACCCAGAAAGTCCAAGGCGGAGTTAGATGCGTACATTGATCACCTAGACTCTCTGTGGTCACAGGAGGATGAGTGGATTATGATCTTTGATAATTTGATCAAGAACACTGAAGCCTCCACAAGAACTAGGAGACACACCCACCACCACAGTCACTACCACAAAAGTGGCACCACCAGCTACCACTCCTCGCCTTACAACTCTCCCTACAAGAGAGGTAAGTTCCGCTCTCATATTTTTTGTGGTTTGCACCAGTTACTATTATTTAGCTGTTATGCCATTATATTTTGAAGAATTGCTAGGTGTGCTTTTATTATTGAACATTATTGTAAGTAAAAATAATAGCAGGTCCACTTATAAACTTGGAACTTTATATAATGCACTAATAGCGTCGACCGCTCACCGGTGCCATAAACCAGAGGGGAGAACGTACTGGGTCACCTGTATGTTGTGCAGAGACCTTGACCCACCCGCTGCTTGTGGCGGTGAGGTAATTGCTGCAGCACCGGCAATAACAGCATCTACCACATGTAAGGCCGGGCTGCACCCACCACCAGGATGCAGTTCACACAGCGTTATGGTGGTGAACACCTCGCAGGGCACAACTCGTCAACACTGGCACCATACAAGGATACTCTTAATATGCAGCGCATTTTATGTGTAGTTTTTTATTTATACGTTTATCGATTCTTTTGTTAATATCTGAAATTCTGTGAATCAAGTGAAATTTGCTTGGTGGGGGAGGGAGGCCGTAGACTATTACCCCATTAGGCATGGTCTTGCAACACACTGTTCTCTTTCCCACTTCCCTTCCCTCGCTTGACAATGAGTTCTACAAGAAGTCAGCTTTTGTCAGACCCAGCGCTATGTTCCCTGGTCTACTTGTGACCACAATACTGGCTCGCGTTGCTTATTGTGTTGAAGTAAGGATATATTGAAATTAAAACAGTTAATATAGCCAGAAAAATACCGATGCAAAATGAGTAGCATCACCAATATTGACATGACTGAGCCTTTTGAGTGCAATACTAGAGCTCTCATAAAGACATCTGATAAATATTGTACATTCATCTCAAGAAAATTATTAAATAGTTTAAAAGTATCATTTAGATTATTATATGTTTCATGTGTTAGTGGATACATACTGACATGTTTACCGCAATTTTTATTTTATGATGAGTTTACTTCAGATCAGGTGTTTTTATTACGGCTTCGGGGTAATGTCACGTGTGTTATTTAAAGGCCGAGAGAGATAAGACCTACTATATTGTGTGGAAGAAAAATAACAGGATCCGTCGATGTTACTAACTTGGCGTGGAAGGTGAGGTAACAGTACTTGACGCGGGAACACTCGTACACCTTGTTCTCTGATGGCTACCACAGACTTGATATGCTTGATTTTTTCTTTCTTTGAACTTTTCTTTACGTAGAATAAGTTGAACATTACGCAAAAAACATCGCAACATTTCCCAGTCAATTTTATGTTAAATGTGGGTTACATTGTGCATGAGGATCTCTTGCAAGTAGCTACCTTGAGCAATTTCAGGTTACTTAATGATATCACTGTTCGGTCAGGCGATTATTATTGCAGTCGTTTTCGCAAGGTGTGAGAGTGAGAGAGAGAGAGAACCTCCCATTGGTTTATCTATGCTGAGCCAGCCAACCCCTCGCCCCTGTTCACTTGCGAATCTCTCTTTAATAATCACAACCATTGATTATCTCCTTTCTCCGTCTTCAATATTGGTGATGCAGGCGCTCTCCTCCACAGGTCCCCGGGGAGGCTGTCATTGAATACGAATTCTTTGGAAAGCGATGAGAAATTGAACAAGTTTCTGGAAAGTCCCTGACATACTTAAACAAATGTCATGAGTTGTTACAGAGATAGAGGACTCGCGTGACCTGGGGTAAATATCGTGAAAATAATGTTGGTGTAATCTATGGAGGTGTAGAGGCGAGGTGATGCAACGGCTACTCGGCAGATATTGCCTTCATGGTGGTATTGTGTTGGGAGGAGGAGGTTGTCACTCGAGGGGTTTGGTTCTGAGGTTCACTCCGAGATTACAAGAGTTTCGGAAATCATATCCAGGTAAACCTTACAGGTGTTAAGGTAGCTGGAAATGAATAAGTGAAGCGGTGTCGTAGAAGGATGCCGTGTGGTTGGTGTTAGTTAAGAATGTGGTAGAGTGACACACACAGGGACTAATGCCAACAACACTGGACATGCATAGCGACGCTGTTTAATATACCCACCCGCAGGCTTGGTACCCTCAACGTGTGTTAAAAATTCATGCTTGGATCACCTGATATGGCTGACTGCATTCTGCTGATCACGCTGGTCTGGCCAACTGTGCGACAGCTAGCCAAGAACTATTGGTATATTTATGTCTTAAGTTTCTGCGTGAAGGTATAACCCCAAGTCGGATGATGCAGTCAACACCTTAAAGTTCAGTAATGTTAGATTGTGTTATGTTACCTAGGTACGTGTACAGGTAGACTCATTAGGCAGGTATGTGGTTTAATAACTCCGAGTTTGAGGACGAAACAGTGGTTCGGTATAGGCCTAACAGAGAGAGGAACCCCCATGACGCAGCGTCTTTGGGGGGGGATGAGTCAGTTCATGTGATTGTGTCTACGCCGGGATTTACTTAATTTTGGTCGCCTGTTAGCCTTGGTGATAGTGGAGGGTGGGGGTGAGGAGAGGCCAGGGACGTCCGTGTAGTTTGTTTGTTTATGTTAGTTGAGGAACAACACACTTTTATTGATATTAAGTTTCGACGCTTGCTTTTAATAACATTATATGTCAAATTATTTATTTCTTATTAACGAATAAAGTTTTATTTATCATTGAGTAAAATTAATTTGTTCGTTTTATATTATTTTTCCATTTTTTTTCATTGAAACTAAGAAATAGATAATAGCTGGGTGTATTTATCTAAGTTTCACTAAAGATTAAAAAAAATAGATAAAAAAATGATTAAGTTCCCTAACTGAAACTTAAACTTTATTCATTTTAAAATAATTGCCAAATTTTATCAATCGGGGTCCCGTCACAACCCTTAACAAGCGCTACATCATTATTGTTTAGTGTCACTTTACGGAGATTTAATAGTTGGGGCGAAAGTGGCCGTCAAGAAGGAGGACGCAGACATACACAGGACCTTGTTATAAACACTGGAGTCGTCGTGCAAGCAAATATTGAGGTCTTTGGTATTCAAGGTCACGGACGCTGCCTTGCTATCCCTCCTGAGGCTCACAAGTTAGTGGCTGACACGAGGCCGGGCAGCTCCTCCTGACCACCAGTGCATGACGCTGCCTTGCTATCCCTCCTGAGGCTCACAAGTTAGTGGCTGACACGAGGCCGGGCAGCTCCTCCTGACCACCAGTGCATGACGCTGCCTTGCTACCCCTCCTGAGGCTCACAAGTTAGTGGCTGACACGAGGCCGGGCAGCTCCTCCTGACCACCAGTGCATGACGCTGCCTTGCTACCCCTCCTGAGGCTCACAAGTTAGTGGCTGACACGAGGCCGGGCAGCTCCTCCTGACCACCAGTGCATGACGCTGCCTTGCTACCCCTCCTGAGGCTCACAAGTTAGTGGCTGACACGAGGCCGGGCAGCTCCTGACCACCAGTGCATGACGCTGCCTTGCTACCCCTCCTGAGGCTCACAAGTTAGTGGCTGACACGAGGCCGGGCAGCTCCTCCTGACCACCAGTGCATGACGCTGCCTTGCTACCCCTCCTGAGGCTCACAAGTCAGTGGCTGACACGAGGCCGGGCAGCTCCTGACCACCAGTGCATGATATTCTCTCTCTGCCAGACGGAATCATCCTTTGTTTTCATTTGTGTTAATATTCCTTTCTGGATTGATCTTATAATTACCTGGTATAATCACACAGTTAACTGGTCTAATCATAGTTAACTGGTCTAATCATAGTTGACTGGTCTAATCATATAGTAAACAGTTAACTGATCTAATCATAGTTAACTGATCTAATCATAGTTAACTGGTCTAATCATAGTTGACTGGTCTAATCATATAGTAAACAGTTAACTGATCTAATCATAGTTAACTGATCTAATCATAGTTAACTGGTCTAATCATAGTTAACTGGTCTAATCATATTGTTAACTGGTATAGTCATATAGCCACCTGGTATAGTCATGTGTATCGGTTGGAGCGCCATGCTGGATATCCGAAGCTGTTAGTATATTGTGCATACAAACATTTCACACAGAACTGAAGTTAATGAGCCCGCTGATGGACATGAGAGTGCCATGTTAGTTTTGTCGTGCCCTCAGTGTGTCCCGCCTCCCTGTCTGCTGTACACGAGATATCTTAAGCTTGAAGAAATAGAGGTATTGACTTAAGGGGTCATATTCTGGGGGCCATCTATTTTTTAAACCCCTGTTTGATCTCTAATATGACCCCTTAAACCCCTGATGTGACCCTTTAAACCCCCTAATATGACCCCTTAAACCCCCTAATATGACCCCTTAAACCCCTGATGTGACCTTTTAAACCCCCTGATGTGACCCCTTAGACCCATGATGTGACCCCTTAAACCCCTGATGTGACCCCTTAAACCAGGGCTGTGGAGTCGAAGACAAAACCTTCGACTCCGACTCCTCAAATTTTTATGCTTCCGACTCCGACTCCTTGGCCTATTTGTAACAACTATTTCTACCATCCTAATTGTAATTTGTATGTTGTAACCTGCATAGGTAAAAAGTAAAACACCGTGGCTATACTGCTACAGCTTTATTAATGATCTGGACGATATTTAAGAACTACAAAAAGATGATAGGCTTGACTTTCAAAGTTTCAATCAAAAGAAAAATAAATTTATTAAGAATTCAAGATATTAACTAGAAAACACCATTTACATGTATATCTAAAAGTTCGATCTCAGCATATGAATTTTGTTTAAGCTCATAATCTGATGTGGATCTAAATGATGATCCTACAATTCCTTTTAAAGTAAAGTTATATATTTATGTACATTAAAGAAATGAATACCTTATTAAGGAAAATGGATAAACCTTACATGATTAAGTTATTAAATTAAATTTGCCTTAATCTCACCAAAAACAGGTTGTAGCTAATTGTTTTGTAGCTGAGAGCCTCTGTGCAGTTTTCAACGAAACAAAATTTGATATAATTCAAAATTTCAAATGGTAAAGAAGAGACTATCGTCCAAAATTATAGTGCTATACTGTGCCTGCTACAATAAATTCATAATAATGCTTATAAAATGGAAATAAATTCTTTTAATAATTTAAGAAAATTAGTGGGATCAGTGGAATCACTGCAATGAATATGCCTGAGTTCATATATTTGTTCTTAGGAACAGAATAGCTTCAGTCGGAGTCGGAGTCGGAGTCTGGACAATTTTACCGACTCCGACTCCGACTCCACAAGCCGAAATTTCCTCCGACTCCTCGACTCCGACTCCGACTCCACAGCCCTGCTTAAACCCCTGATGTGACCCCTTAAACACCTGATGTGACCCAAACCCCTGATGCCCCTTAAACCCCTATGACCCCTTAAACCCCTGATGTGACCCCTTAAACCCCCCTGATGTGACCCCTTAAACCCCCTGATGTGACCCCTTAAACCCCTGATGTGACCCCTTAAACCTCTAATGTGACCCCTTAAACCTCTAATGTGACCCCCTTATACCCCTGATATAACCCCTTAAGATTATGCAGCATTGGCAACATGAAAAAAAAAAGATTCTGAACCTGATTAGCTCTTGAAGGTCATGGGTTAAACGTTGACTGAACCTACGCAACAGGGATTACATGCAAAGCCCCTTGACATGATTGACTTGAAGGCCAAGAGTCACGATCAGATAGATGGTTATTGGTACAGTATTAGACACGAATGTATTTAAGTTATAACTTGTCGATATTGACCAGACTTACAGACGTTGCCATATTATAAAGTTCTCGACGTAACACACTCGGAGGCCAAGGTCACTGGGTCACTGATACTAAAAGTGATTGTTTGATTTGAAAATGTGATGTCTGTTAGATACAACAAACCCGAATTAAAGTGTTTTGATTAAACTGTCAGAAGTTTTCCGCATATTAAGTTGTGGGAGTAACACAGTCTTGTAGGCCATGGGTCAAGTTGAATAAGTCACCGGCACTGGTAATTATTGTGTTCAAGCTATCTTAACTTGATTAACTTATGACGGGAGCGGGTCAAAGTTTAATGCTAAAACGTCATTGGGACATCTAAAATATCATGCTGGTTTTTTTAGCGGCTTTTGGAATTCATTTTTATTCTTTTATTAAATTAAGGCACAAGTATTAAATATGGAGGATTGAAATTTTTAGGCTTCACCGACGTAACACCAGTGGGGTCGAGGGGGCTTCACAGTGTTTTCGTTAACTGAATTGTTGTATATTCCATCAGTTCCTGTAATCAGCTTTGACTTTCGTTAACTAAACCAGTATTAATGTAAGTACTTTTGTTTATCTGGTCGGATACAGAATGCGTAGAAGACTGTGAGGTCAGAGCCTGCCTAGACCCGCCGAGCTCCCACGGCATGGCAGGCTGTCAGACCGTCTTACTCGCTTTTCTTGTCTTCGCCCGGATACTCTTCACCCGCCGTTTTTATTTTCATTCTTTTTTTTACTGCCATTGATATTGACATGCGCCAAGCACCTTTCTCCTGTTAACCAGGGGAGAGGGGTGGGTGCACTACGGTAGGGTCACTGGTGGCTGGCTATCCGTCAGGGACCAGAGGCAAGTGGCTGCAGTAAACGGGTAATTACCACCACTTGCCGACCTGGCTAGCTGTAACCTAGGGCGGCTACCTGTCACTGGCTGCCACTCGAGACGCGCACTCGCTGTTTAAAAGGATTTCAAGAACTTTTATCGTAGTTATTGGACCACGAAGTCGACGGTTCTGTCGAGGAAGTGATGGATAAAAAATGTATTGGCGGACATCCAAGGGTGGCGGGAGATGCGGCACCGGGAGGACAAAAGACCGCTTTACTACCAGTATATTGCGCCGATAAGAATGTCAGTGACGGCTGAAATGGCCAGATTCATTAATGCGGTGGAAATAACCTTGAGATATTAAACTGGTGGCGAGTTAGTGACTGTGGGAGGGTAAAGTGAAAGACGCCTGGTGGTGACGCTGATGGTGGCTTCGAGGGGGAGGCGCAGGCGGTGGTAGTACGTTGAACACGGTCATGGCACGACGAGCTCGGCGGCGAAACGTCGAGTACCAGAGTAAGACTGGTTTCCTGTCCCGATTTTTGTGGTGGCTGCTGCCGCCTGGAGGTTGCAGGACTGCTCATTAGTAGGCGGTGAGGTAGTCATGCAGGTTGCCAGTGTGAGGGAGAGACAGCCAGTCCTTGTTGTTATGCCACTGCTGCAGTCCTCACTGATAAAACATTTTGTTACCATGGCACCAATGGCGGCTTAGCACGACCTACTTACCACACGTAGGGGCGTTTATCTCTATTACAAATGACTTTATGTTATTGGCTCTGAGTTCTAGACAATATGAAATAGTCCTGTACGCCTTCGCCGATTGAACATAACGTGTAATAAATTTCACCTCGGACATGTTTCTGTGCACTCCATTTATGATGGGGTGATAAGAATAATTTTCAGTGTGAGGGCTGCGGGTGGTGCTGGCGGCGGAGGCATAAAACTTGGTGCCTGACGGAACTGGACGGGAGGAAGGGAGTTGGCAGGGGGACAATCACTCTTGGAAGGCTTCATACTGTCCACCCACCCATGACAGCTATTGATTGGTAAACGGTTGGTCTTGGAGGTTGAATAAAATTGTAAGATGAAAGTCGTGAAGGTGGTCCTGTGCATGTCTGTTTGGGCGTGGGTGGCGGCTGGTTCTAGCGGCTTTAATATTGCAGTAACTTATTCTTTTTCCTTTTTGCGCAGAACCCCCCCCTTCCCTTAAGCATTTCCTCCCCCCTCCTGCACGATCACCTTCCAGCAGCCTCCCACGCACACGTTCCCCCTGTAAACCCCCCACACCAACACGGCCACACGCACGCACGCACCCACCCACCAACCCACCCACCCCCCCCCCCGAGGTTTGTATTAGGTGTATGGCAGGCTCACAACTGAGTGACGGTGTCCTTCCCACATAGTTGTGACCTCTCACAGTTTTTGTCACCCGTTTCTGCACCCTGATAAAGTGACGGGACAGGTCACCCTGGTTACGTGGGGATGACTGGAAGCGAGGTTATGTAATCGGTGTTTGTGAACCCGTCACTTCGCGTTTGGAGGGAGTCCTCATGTGAACCCCACTTCATAATATGTCATGTGTCCACTCACCCTCTGTTACCTACTTCTTAATAGACAAGATAACCTTAACAGTGTTCCTGTAACTCAAACCAGTTTTAAGAAATCGTTACGAAGATGAAGATTTGTGGGTCAAGGACATAACTCACACCCGTGCTCTTGTTTGGATACAAGTGAGGTATGGAATAATTTGATCCCAAGATATTCTTTTACACGAGCTTGGTTGTTGTCTGAATCTTGGTCGAGTTAATCACATATGAGTGGGAGAACTGCGTTTAGTTTGTTTCACACCCCCTGTTGTGTTGTCGCTAGGGTCACGTGAAGTTTGGTGCTGACAGAGGCGCTAGTAGTTCTCATAAAGACTGCACGTACGGACCGATAAATGAGGGAACAGCGCCCTCTACCCTGTCCTATATCTTACCACCCTTAGGTTAATACCTGTCATAATATACACTTAAAAAAGAGTTGTGGAGACGTTGTACAGGTGATAATATTAACACGGACCCGGGCCAGCTTACTGTTCATATACTTTTTCTCGAGGGCCTCGTTAGGCAACACCCCATTCACACTTCACCAACTGATTAACCGAAGTGACCTCTTCACATATCGGACTGCTTTGGCGAGTCACTTTAATTGGTTGGAATAATTGTGTGCCGGATGGTAGTAATGGGGTTAAGTGGATGTTTGTTATAATGACAAGATGATGATCCCTAAAATTAACGTCGGATGAAACGCAAAGTAAGCATCAGTATTTTTTTAAATACAAGTTTTGCCAGAAAGTACAACTACAATTTATTTGGTGTTTGGCAAGACATGAGGGACTTGGTGGTAGTGGCGACCAGTCATCCCGCCTGGGCTGTGTCACGTCCCACCACCTGACAAACACTCTTGTCATGATGCTGTACATTACATCTGTTACTCACCGCCAGCCACGAACACTTTTTAAAATATAAGTGACATTAATTATTTCATCTGAAAAAAAAGCATGCTTTTATATTGAGCACTTCTGACCTTGGGTGGAAGAGGTTACGAGGACTGTGTGGTTATGGGTTCATCAGTTATGCTTCTCATGACTGTTAATCATACGCAATCTGCCCATCTTACCTTGTTTGGTGTGTTTAATAGGTACTCAATGGTGGCATTATAACGGGAACGTCCCACATGTTCCTGACTAATCTGAAGCATTATATGAGGAGAAGAGATACAACCGCTTGGTAATTAAGTTGTAAAGTGGAAACGCTGCGCTGTTACCATTAGTAACACTGAAGCTCCCAGTAGCTAAACCACGGATTAATGCTGAACACTATGCTAGTCTTTTACTGCAAATCAGAGAGAGGAAGGCAGCAAACCATCACGATGTCTAAGGTTAAATTTGCCTTGTTATCCGTCATCCATCCTGTCTCCTCAAGAATATTATCAGCTTGTCTAATCTTTCAGTTTATGCATGGAGTATATAAAGTGCGTCAGGTCACATGAAGATAAATTAACGACGCATTTTAATCGACAGTTTGTGAAGAGTACAGCGGACGTTCGTTACACTGGGGTCACGCTGAGAGGCTCGTGTACCTGACGGCATTAGCATAAACACGAGGGATGGTTGCTTGTTGTAGAGGATGGGGTCTGTTAAGGGTAATGGTTGTGGCGGTAGTGGTTATGATGTAAGTTGGTCGTGGTTAGTGAGAATAGTAGTTGCTGTGTTGGTAGTTGTTGGAAATGGTAGTAGTTGTGTTAGTTGGTATATTAGGAATGATGGTAATAGTGATGGTGGTAGTGTTTATGAGTGGTAGTCATGGTTGTAGGGGCGGGCGAAGTTACAGGATTACGGTATACAGGAATTATGTCAACAAAAAACGTGTAACCTTCTGTTATCTTCGGCTGAACTCTGTGTGTGGTGATGGATTGGATTTGGCAATCTTAATCTTCGGCTTTAGTCATCCCCAAAGGCTAGGGGTCGGCATCTCGAGTCTCTCCACTATATTATACCGTGTTGGGTCTTCATTCACAGCCCGATGTTTTGTGCTTCTCTTTTGGCCACGTCTCTCCACATTAACGTGTCTTCCTCTTGACTACCCCCGCCTTGGTCGGCTCATTCCGGGATGTTTTGAGGTAATGGAGCTGCTTAATAGTGAGATTGTTTACATCTGAGCATTTACCATCATCGCGATGGAAGGAAAATTAGGTTGGTGAGAGTGTGTGAAAGCGGGACGGTGTGAGGTATCTGCCACTTGATCACGCACACCCCGCCAGGGCTTCCCTCACTCTCCCTCACCTGCTTCCAACACGTGCCCTGAAAAAGTCCCGTATGCTGGTATCCGGGACACCAGGAAGGTTAACCAGATTTAGCTTCCGAGAGAGAGAGAGAGAGATCCTGAACGAAGAAAAAAAGAGAGGATAAAGGATAGGAATTCTATTATGATATTTGCATATTTTTCGCAGGAATTATGAGCATAAATAATTTTCGCATTAGGAAACAACTCTTTTTTTTATACCATCGTCATGGCGTGTCCGTCCATCCAACAGTCAATCATTTCCACACACTGCTCGTACCAACAGTCGTGTCACCCGGGATAACTGAGAAGCATCTAGTGATAATTTATGCTTTAGCAATTCGAGGTATCATGGTTAACCCCCAAAACACCTGACTGCAAGCTTAAGTCTTTCACAGATTATGTTAAGGTGGCATAACAATTGTATCAGTGAAAGTTATTACTCCTTGACTCGCATGCGATAACCATGGCATGATTGTTTTGTCTGTCTGTTTCCGTCTGTCGCATATTCGTCCACAATTTCTCGTTTTTTCCGTATTCTTCCGCCATTTCATATAACCGAACGAGTTGTCTTAATACTGTGCGTTATAATGTGTATGTATGTGTGTACTGTATATACTGTATGTGTGTCTGTATGCATATTTTTAAAAACATACATGCTTATGACATAATGCCTCTCAATGAACAACATCCCTGTCACCTATGCAACAAGATTGCGCCTCCAGGATGGACTCCATACTCATCTACGGTGGCATCAGAGGAATAACACATAACTCATCAATCTGGAGCAACGTCGTCATCGACTTGGATGGACTGCCATAAGCATGTATGTTTGTAAACACCTTGAAAAATACATGATCTTTGACTGGTTTCTCTAAAGGTCAAGGAAAACAGCGTGGTAGTTAGTCGAATCACCCGGTCTCGCTAAGAAGCAACCCGGCGTGAAGAAATACTGTATACTGGTTACTCTGGTACTGCTCGTCAACCATCTCGGGTTTGGGATAAAACACTTCACCTTTTGTGAATCTTTGTATACAGGAAAATGAGTTGCTATTGCTGTCTGGAGTGTCGTGATACTTGAGGGAGTAACATAAATAAGTAAATATTAAGAAAAACTGTAGCTGTGTCCTAATTGCTTCATACAGCTATTTGTTGTGCTTGTGTGAACTGCAAGTTCCCATTTTCGTTATCAAACATTTTGATAACTTTCCTACGGAGTTAACAATTTAAAATGTTTGACTCGAAAGAAGGTAACGTGTTTTTTTCTTCAGGAAATACCCAGGTCTGATGTTGTATATTCGTTTTTCTTTCCTCTTGTGTTTCTCGCTCAGCATCGAACTTTTTAATGTAAGTTTCTCTCCCCCAAGATAGGATCTCTGTTCGTGTTTATTTTGTCTTCACCAGTTTGGTAAGGTTGACGGTGCTTTACATTGCTCGGCCCACGCTTCCTCCCTTCAGTATAGAACACCGAAACATCCTGATATATTCTTTGGCTTAAGAGTTGGGAACGACGGTGAATTGTGTTTGTGCACCAGGCCCGAGGAAGGTAAGCTCTTCATCGTGCGGCCTCGTCAGGAAGCTCTCGCACGATATTTACAGACCTTTCTTCTCTAGTTTGTTGTTGTTGTTGTTAGTGTTGCCATAACCGTATCGGTCTTAGTCAACATTATTTTTTCGCTTTCTACCTCTCTTGTGTGGTCTTGTGACGGCGCTGTGGATGACGTGTGGAGTTTGCATGACTAAGGTGGTGTCACTGTTATTGATTGGCATCCATGACGTGTGAGTCACTTGGTCACGTCCAGTTCCTCTTATAACTCTTGTCACACCCTCACTCGTCCACTCACTGCCTCTCTTATATGTGATGGGAAATATTCATCGTAGGATTAAGCTTGTCACTAACGTGATTGTAACTCCTGCGGCTGCCAAGCTTCAGTTGTCCGTTGCCACGGTTGAACTCTTTGAGTTGTTACTGTGTTAATGTCAGAACCCGTAGAGATCCTTTTTGTTTTTTGAAGGACAAGTCAAGCTTCTCCAGACACAGGACTTTGGTGCAAGTTAAGGGGTTCATGTCTGGTATTGTCATGCCAGTGTCAACTTTGCATCTATGGTATGACTAATTTAAACGTATTCTGTGTATACACATAGGCACCAAAAACTGTATAATTCAACCATTGTACCGGTAGTTATAGAGTTAATAAGAGGGAGCTAAAATTGTGTCAAAATATTAACCTGCACTCTTGCGTCTTCCTCACCAGCCAGCCTTCACCTTATTGAACCACTGAATTATAGTCTGTCCACACGAAAATGTTGAACATTAAACTAAACATTTACCGACTGTTTCACTCCATAAGATCTAATTACCGATCGGTTTAAAGCTAACTGAAGTCTGAGACATTTAATTTATATTTACAAGTGTATTATTTCAATAAATTTCAGTTCTAAAACTCACCTCTTAAAGGGGTACTTCATAGACCGTTATTAACATCACAAAATTTACGTTGTTTAATTTGGGATTCAAAAGTCTATTATGGTGTTCCTTGTTAATTGTTAGTAACTTTGTCCATCGTCTAGCATTAATTACCCTCCAGCTGTCTTGAGTTGGCCGGGTGCCTCCTGTAACGTTCCATCCAGTTGGGTCTTGATCCACTGGCATTCCTCTGGCGGTAAGTTAGTGCATGTTCTCCAGGTGGTAATCCACCTACCCTCACTCTCTGCCTTCCATCCCCCCCCCCCCTCCTCCTCTTCGTGCTCATGACCCTGGGCGCGGACGCCACACAGCGGTTTGTTTATTCTTGAGGAGTCTCCCCTACCCATATTTGCTGGATCCCTACACGTGTCCGCTAACCCGTTGGGAGTGTTTACAGTAAAGTGGCAACGTTTTCCCGTCCTCCTTGTTGATGCCGTGCACATTCTTCACTCATTTAGAAAGTGTCCTCTTTGTGTTCATCATTTTTGGGACTATTAATGCTAAGAAGAGTTGCACATGCTCACTCACATACCCCCGACACCCAGGTACATACACCCACACTCATTGTTGCACTGGATGCGCAGGCTTTCGGGATGCAGACTCACAGTCTTATTGATTAGAAGGCCATGAAGGCTGCATCATCCAGGACCAGGCAGAAAGCAGTAGAAGCAAGTCCCGGAATCCACATTAGCATAAAACACCTTTCACTTGGCTGGCCCCGTCATTCCTCTTGTCCTGGCGAGAATCTGTGTTTCTCTTTTACCTATGCTAAGGCAATATTTTTAACCCCAGCGAATTGATGGTCGTACACTGCTACGCGTGGAGGTCATTTCATTGCTCTGGTAATATATTTGTGAATTTTTGGTATTTAGTCTGGCCAGTTGTCTCATCCATTGGCCCAAACGGAGTATGGTGTAGAACGATGTCCGGACTTTGTTTTAAGTTACGTTTGTTAAATAAAAGAGTCGACACAATGTAATTAAAAACAATAACATCTACACCTACATTTTTTCTCTCTTTCTGATCTCACTCTCAAACATTAAATTTATGCATCCTGGGGGTCTCTATATATTAAAGTCACCCTCTTTGATACCGTCCATTGCTTATGTCCCATTGTGTGTGTGTGTGTGTGTGTGTGTGTGTGTGTGTGTGTGTGTGTGTGTTATTTAAAATGTAAAGGTCAAATCAATTCAGACTCAAAGGCGAGGAGGTGTAACAGCTGGAGACTTTGAGGTGATTGTTTATCCAGACCAATTCAGTGGTCACCGAAGCGTCAAAAGGTCAAACAGGAGGAGTGAGTAGCGGACGACTTACGTAATTTCCTGTAGCCACTTAGAGCCGAGTTCAACCAAGGGTCATATCCTAGTGTCAGCGAATTTAACTTCAATTGAATTATTGGTTAATTTGTTTCTTTCGCCAATTTTGTATTCATCATTTGTTGCGTCGATCACTAATGAAGGTTCAGGTGTTTACTACTGTTCTTGAGGTAGACGTTTATACAGTGGTTATTTATCAAGTGAGTTCAAGAAAGGTTCGGCCAGGTCAGATTTTTGTTGTTGTTCCTGCTCACTTTGTATCGGTGTTAGTGCGGGTTAATTTTCTGTTTTATGTTCAATGGCCACAATATTAAGCGAGTTTCTTAAATGTGGGGAAGAGAAAATGCATTAAGTAACCCGAATTTAAACTTTGTTGAACTAAACCAAGGATATATTTCTCTCGTACTCTTATCCACATGGTCATCTTTTTCACGTCTTATAGCGAATGGCTTTTTATATATAACATAACTGATCACTATACAGTAATTACGAAATTATATATAATGATTACGAAATATATAATTTAACATGGTATATTAGTGACAATGATATTTCTAGTTTTTTATTCTTCAAGAGTCTTGTTTTCACCAGCTGATTGTGTGAGACTGTAAAAGGAAAGACTGTATTATTGCCTATGATCTTTTATGGAGAATATGTAATGGGGGTAATTCTAGGATGTGTGTGTGTGTGTGTGTGTGTGTGTGTGTGTGTGTGTGTGTGTGTGTGTGTGTGTGTGTGTGTGTGTGTGTGTCGTTGATAAATCGGTTGGGCATTAATAATAGCGCTGTGCCTTAAGGAATACTGCACTGTCAGATTATGATGGTTAGGTCGGGGTAGACACGCGAGGCCTGGAGCATTGCTGATGGCCGAGACCCACGGTAAAAACTGAGTTAAAGGCTGACACGCCAACCAAAACGTTGTTAAACCGACCAGTAGCAACGGCGAGAAACTTGACGCTGTCTGTGTAGAAGTTTGACAAGTTGTGAAATTTAGAGCATTTCTCTTAACGCTATATTACATTATTAAGTAATGTATTGTACTTATGTAACGAGTGCAGGGGAACGTTAAGATAATGGAGAGTTATGTATTTACGAGTTACAAAGATTATCAAGGAATTGTTAGTACCGAGATGTGGAGTGCTAGTAAGGGATTTTGATTTTTAGGACAATAATCAAGATCATTCACTGAGCTGTGCCTATGAGGTGAGTTTGAAGCCAGGTGAGCACGTTACTAGGTGAAGACTGTCGAGTTGTGTTTCATATGTAGGCTTAGGACGCTGCTTTATATTTTAAAATGAATTAAAAGTAAGTGGACACAGTCTCATCTCACTGTCAAATATTTTGGAAATATTACTTTGTAGGAATCACTGTTCTTGTACTAATGTCTCTGAGTACGGGATAAAACTTTGGCATTTGTTGAGACGAACCAAGTAGTTATCGATGGAAAAAAAATAATACTCAACAAGTGATACTAGTTGTGGTGTGAGCGGGATGCAGACTCAGGTGCACTGGATTAGCCCACACTCCCTCGGCCCCTGACCTGCTTGTGTCTCCCTCTCCCTCCAGCTCCCCGGGCCCCTTCAGGAGTTGTTGACTTTGAACCTTTGACTCGTGGCTGACACTGTAATATCAGGTCCGCTGCCAGGATCTTTTATATAATATTATTTGTGATTTTTAGCCATGCCGTCAGTCTAGAAATATTGACGGTGACGTCTAGCGACAGGGTAACCGGCCACATATACATCCTCCTGCTGATGGTTTATATTGTGACAAGGTGGTGGCACCCATGACAGTGCTCCCTCTGACGGCCGTAGCTGACAGTGACCTATATTGAATCCAAGGTCAATATATTGACCTTGATTCAATCTAGCCTCGTCGCGTACGGTAGTCAACAGTATTACGTCACCATTAGTAATGATTAAGGTATTTAAGGTTGGCCCTGACGACTTATTCATGGTGTGGCGGGATAATTAAATCGGCTGACTTGTGATTGTCATTTAACCAAATAATTATGTCATGTAATTTAATTTAACGCTGGGT